GCATTTCGAAATAAAAAAACCGAATAAAACGAGAACACCGTTCTAAATGAACGCAACGCGAATTGCCTACACATAACCCCTTAAACACCGCGCACTCTTGCGGTGAACGGCCAAATAATATAATAAAACGATTTTTTATTTAAATTTTTTTATTTAAGTAATAAATCATCGGTTAGGCTAATACGTTCGGTTATCATTTCGCTGACCCGCGGATCGTACACAACCGTTTAAATACAATTATGATTTAACGGACGGTATTTCCGCATTAGCTGTTCCGTTCGGGGAACGCGTTCGCGCCTTCGCGATATCCACTTTGCGGTTTCCGTGGAACAGGGTCGCATGCGGCCGGCGGACGGCGGACGGCGTCTCACGGTTTTTTCCGGCCGCGAACAAAGCGCGTTCGCGTTTCCTACGTACCAGGGCGTCATGGAACGGACGCGGTGCGTCCGGCGACCGGACGTGACGGCGCGTGCGCTGGGCCAGTTGTGTCACTGCGGCCGGCACTCTTACCAGGGGACTATCGTTCGGCGCGGCGACTTTTATTACGCATCGACTATTATGACGGTGAAACATCAGCGGATCGATTTTATCACGCGGGAACAACGGCGAAAAACGTCTTTGACAGTATCGACATTTTTGATTTTTTTTTTTTTTTATTTTTTTGCCACCTTCTACTACTTTCGTGTATTATATTTATTATGGCCCGGAATCGTTTGCATGCTGAAAACGTACGAAATATGCATTTACACGCATCATTAAAACACGCAAAAATATGCAAACAACGACCGGTGTTAATTAAATGTATTTAGTTTAAAAATGTATGATATAATTCATTACATAATTAATATGGAACAAAAAAATGCGTTAAATTCCGTAAATTGCTTACGGACCATATGTATAATATGTGGATAAAACAAATGGGTATGAAACAGTTAGGTGTTCGACTACCTGAACACTATACAATGAAAAATCATAAAATACAGAAATATGCAGTACACATCAACAAATGACAAAATATGCAAAATAAAACTCTGTGTTTCGGATCTATTGACTATAATTCAATTTCGTAGCCCTTCTGGCAACTTTTTAGACTGTTAGAAAAAAAAAAAAACGCGCGAACACATATGAATCCGGGCTCGAATTATTATTGTCCGTTCGATTCCGTTTCACAAAAAATAACAGAATTATTTTCGCAACGTTTCGATGCGTAGACATTTCCGATTTTTAGACAGTGCGACCGGACGAACTTTTAAACAACATTTCGTGATTAAGTGGTTTTTGTTTGTTTTTTTTTTTTATTCTTTTGTGTGCGTGTTTTAACGACACATGGAAACACCGTCAAAATTCGATCAATCTGTAGCCCGCTGCGTAGTAACGACCGGTGCGGCGGCGTAGATTGTGCGCGGGCCCGCGGTCAAACGGAACACGGCTTTCTGTTAATATCGTGAAAAAACGTTAAATAAATACGACGTTTCGTTCAAAGCACCGCCCGTAATAATATACCTAATGCCGCGCTATAAATTATTATTTCCGGAACGAACGGCGCGCGTCACAACGGTCGGAGTAAATCCATCCCGACACAACAGCGCGCCCAATACTTGTAATAAGGTTTTTCGTCTGCGAATTACACACGGGCGCGCGCGCGCACACATACACACACACACACACACACTCACACACATATAGTACACTCGTATAGCAATCCGTCCAAGGCCGTCGGAATAAGCCGTCGGGGGTGTGCGCTGTAAACGATATTTTTGACGTCGCATCCTCGCATGATATACCGTAGTAAAAAAATAGTAGTAAAAATCACTTCGGTACACTCTGTATTACGTGCGTGCGTGCGTCGCGTGTCCTCGTGACGGTCGGTCGCGTGGGTGGACGTCCGAGAACAATGAAGACGGCCCGTTACGAGTCCGGGAGTACCAGGGCCTCATGTGCGCCGTGAACGGTAATGTGAACGGCGGTTGAGAATCACTACTTTCGGTATTATAGTGCGTGGTCCGCTAACGGAAAGTTTTTAATAAAAAAAAAAAAAGAACCAACATAATTCGCACGTGGGTGGGCCACTGTTGTAAGTGAGAAGTTGCGTAAGTAAAGTAGACATTTAATGTTACGAACGTAACATTGTCAACGCTATTGACCAATGCTAACGAAAAACGATTTGTCAACTATTTATAATATTTTGTGATATAATGATAAAATAATTACACGTGCATTATATTATAATATTTTCTTTAATAATATTTGTTTAATAATGTACCAATTTTCCCGTTTTTCCCATTCATTGGGCAAACTCCTGAAAAATCAAAAATTTACCCCCTCAAAGTACCACGCCGGTCAGATTTCCTATTAGAAAAAGTGCTGTCATTGTAAATCGGAGGGAAATTCCTAGTAGAATAATTGTCCAAAGAAAAAAATAATAATAAAAAATTGAACATCAGGTATTTCTGTTCGATCAAACAATGATATTCGAGTAGTATCTATCAAACAAAAATTACGTAAAAGACTTAAAGAAAAATGCAAATTTGTCTTCCATATTTCAAGCCTCTACGAATATTTTTAACTAAATTACAACCAAAAAAAATAAAAAAGAGCTGATACTGGGGATGAGAGCGGCCACCGTTATAGGTGAAAAGTTGAGAAGGTAGGATACAAAAGAATATTTCATTTATATCTGTAAACAACGATAAATCACTGATGACGAAAAATGATTCTGAGCGCAGTTCGGTAATATATAATTTGAAGTAACGTAATTTTTTATGCGATTTTCGTTTAAATTTAATTTCAAAACGCATATTAAAAAAAAAAAAGGATTTCCCTACAACCCTCGCCTTTTTTTTTTTTATAGGAATGTACGCTACATAATTATTTATTAATTATTTTTAATAGTGTGTTACTTTTTTCAACTTAAAAAAATCGTACTCTAAATACTTATTCTTACAATTGGATGGAAACTTTCTTAATATAGTGAAAGCTCATTAAAGGACTCTTTAGAGTATTTAATTATTTTGATTATGAGGCCAATTTAATGTCCAAGCTGAGTAATCACAATTTTATTTTTTGTAAAATGTAGAGGTTTAGTAGCTTTAAGTAGCGAAATTTTCGCTAAGTAAATTCGTACGCTTCCAGTGTCGCTACAAAATAGGTAGTGCTGTGAGCTTATTTAAGAAGTCGAGTTACCTATATGAATGTATGAGACTCCATCTCAAAAAACGAATGACATAGTAAATTTGCGTTCATCAGGGATAACATTATGCTGTTAGTTTTAATATTGGATTCTGTTATCTAGCTTGAAGGTAAGAACATTATTTGTGTTTGTTTTGTTTTAATTTTTAAGCGAGATAAAAGTGTGTTAAATGTCACGATTAAAAAGTACTTAAAAATTAAAGTAACGACAAAAAAAACGTTCTCGAATAATATTTTGTTAAAATATTGTAATCTAATGAAATAAAATGTTTATGATTAATTTTTTTCATAACATGACAAATGATAATATACAGCGCGATCTAGTTGTTAATTTATTAAACAGAAATATTAGCTATTCACATTCATCAAATACCGTAAGAGCGCGATACTATTATCGGTTCTATTTAAATATTATTATAGTTCTTTCTCAAATGTCAAATCATTCAATAATTAAAACATATTTGATCTGAAAAATATTCTATTTTCTCTCGTCATTCCACTCATCGACACAAGCATTTTTAAATCTGAACCCATACAACATAGTCGATCTCATCACCTTATTTATGAACTTACTTTTATATGTCTCAATGGAATTCCTTTGATATATAAAACACACATGACGCTTCGCTTTGATCGTTTGTGTATTAGTTTTATTAGGGCTGTGAATTTAATATAGTAAAAAACCTTACAAACGCACAAAATATACACAAAAATGCAATGAAATATGCATTTAAAGTCTCAAAGAATGCAATATAAAATATACTTAAAATGGTTTTTAATTTAATTTCTATATTTATTTTGATATTAATGATATGACTGATATCGATAAATCGCAAACCTCACAAATAACTAATCTAAGCAACATCGCATTATTTTCACCTAACCCGTATACAGCTTATGCAAAATATTATTTTATAAAATATTAATTTGACGTATATACAGCCTGTGTAAAACAAAAAAAAAATGTACGTAAAGATGTTAATTGACGAAATTTGATTAAAAAATACCGGAAAATGAATTAAAAAGGAAAATATTATTTATAAAGTGACATTGAAAATTAAAAACGTCAAAAATTTCAAAATAAAAGTTTCATAAACAAATTTGTTGTTACATAATTCAAATTAGGTATTTAGAAAAAAGCTACGTTTCACAATCAGCTAAAAAAAAAAATGCACTTTCCTATAAATTCACAGCCCTAATTATTATTTTATTTTTTTGCTTTACAGGCCATTTAGGCATATTTTGCAACTTTTACCAAAGATCTCCAGTCCTCTCGATTCTCGGCATCTTCAATTTCCGGTCCATCTTTTTTAATCCGGTTTCTTATTCGATCCATCCAACGTGGTCTGTACCTACTGGTTGTTTTTTATTTGCAGGCATATTAGTGAGTACGAGTTTTATTGACTTGCCCTTCGCACGCCATACGTAGCCAGCCCATTCTAACATTTTTGATCTTGGAAAAATCTTATAAGTTAGGTGCACAGTGTTCAAGTCCAAGTTCTTTCTCCGCTCGTGTAGAACCAGTGTTCAGGTTTAATACGGCGGGTTCGAATATTTGTCTAAGGATTTTTCTTTCGATGATTATTCACATCTGCAAATAACAACGGAGAGTAAGTAGGCGACGCGCGGACTTTCCTCGGCGTCACTCGGAGAGAGCCGCGAGATTAAGAAGAAGATAATTCAGGCGTCGCGAGATCGCGATTTGAAGATCGTTCGTAACAATAAATGTAACATTCGTGTACGGCGTAAATGGTGTACAATAATATTAGCTCTATTATTACGAAGAAAACGGGAGTGAAAACAATATTGTAATGATATTTTATCCGTGTCGCGCAGCTCATGAGACGCTGGTACTCGGAGGTACGCATGAATCCGTGAGTCGTCGTAACAGTTCGTAACAGCCGCCGTGTTGCGTCCGGTCACGCGGTCGACGCGACGTGTGTGCGTCCCGACGCAAGCGCGCGTCACCGAACACGTACGACGCACCACCTCACGCTCGCGCGAACACGGCGCGGCGTCCGGCGGCCGTCACGTCGCATGCGACCCTGGTACTCGTGTGTCCGCGATCCGGTGTACACACGTGTAATTCACACGCACACGCGTGCATCTCCCGTCACCACACGTGTCCTCGGCGCAGTGTCTCCGCGGCCTCCGCCGCTGCACGCCGGCACGTGAACGAACAAAACGAAACGAACGGCACAGAAAAACCGAATAGCCCGAAACGTACGTCGTACGTGCGCGATTGACGTTTTCTCGATCGCATTTCAATATTAGCGTCACAGTGGAAGATGACGTTGCGACCTAACCTAACGGCGTTCTCGTCGGTTATCGTTAATACGTGAAAATAAACCTATAATATTTGGTCAATTAGGTATTTATTTTTATTTTTTTCTTACTAAAAATAACACTTTTATCATAAAAATGTACTTTACACATGCATAAGTAGAGTTGTCGTTTTATATTACAATATATTATAGGTACGTTATATATTTGCGTAACATAATATTTCGGGCCGTTTAAGTTTATTTTTATTTTCGGTACGAATTGAGCAAATTCAATGCGATTAGGTTATTTAAGATTAAATTTAAACAATAACAATCATTTTTGATTGTTCAGTTTAAATCAGCAATAAACAAAAAAAAAAAAAAAACTGTCCTAGGATAATGGAGACGTCTGCAGCCACTGTTCTAAGCGAGAAGTTAGGAAGGTAGGATATAGACGGGAATTGAATGTATATTATCTGTATTATATGTATATTATAAGTAATGATTAACCGTTGCTAACGAAAAACGAATCTGAGCGGGGTTCGATTAATAGTGTTTATTTCTTCGAAAAGATAACGGGCCCCACTGAACAGGTTCTCGTGGGGGCCTAAATATATAAATATAAATATACATATCACATTGTGCTAAAATAATTAATAATTACATATGCATTATACATTTTTTTTTATAATATTTGTTGAATAATGTATCAATTTTTCTGGTTTTCCTACGTTTTTTTTCCAATTTGATGAGAAAACTTCTGCGAAAATCAAAAAAGTACCACCCCAGTCAGATTTCCTTTCAGAAAAAGTGCTGTTATTGTAAATCGGAGCAAGATTTCTAATAGAAAAGTTATTCACAGAAAAAAAAACCTGTAATATTTTTCAACTAAGACGTACAATGTATAATTTTGGTTTTACAACGTATATTTTCCAGTTTTTTCCGGTTTTTTCAATATAAGGGAAAACAGCCGGAATAATCAAAAAATTGCCTCACTAAAGTACTGCAGCAGTCAGATTTATATTCAGAAAAAATGCTATAATCAGAGAAATACTGCTGGTAGAAAAGTTGTCCACAGAAAAATAAAATTAACATCATTAGTAAATCCGAAATAGATACAATTTAAAAAAAAAAATGTTTAATGAATTAAATTAGTTTTTCATAGTAAATGCTAAATGCTGAACAAAATGCTGAGTAAACATTGTGAATAACCAGTGTTAGAACGGTGATAAGTAATGTTAATCAATATTAATTTATAATTATTATTATTATTATTATTATTATTATAATTATTAGGTATTATTGTAGGGTAAACAAAATTTGCCATTAACCAAATAAAAAAAAAACATTAACCCCCTAAATAAAAACACATTTTAAAACTGATGGAAAATTGGGGTTCTCGGTACCTTTGGAATTCATGATACGATAATTTTTGGTTATGAAAATTGTGTATCCTTTTAACATTTTACTGTAGTGGCACAATTTTGTAAAGTGGAGGTACCAGGAGTTCATGCAGCGCACGTTTTTAGACCGAGCCGTGCGACAGACACGCGAGTCTCTACTCTGTGTCGGTCGTCCCGCACATGATCTCCTGATACGGATTTTTGAACGTTTACGCCAACGAACCGTTTCCACAGACTTTCATCATCGCGACCAAATCGTATCAAATTTAAAAAAAAACACTGGTATAGATTTTCGCAACGAACACCCCCCAATATTTTAAATTGTATACGGGAAAACTTTGGGGGGAATTCATAAATAAAAAAATTGATATTTTCAACATTTCAGAATAATTAAAGAGTTAAAGTTGAATGCTTAGAGTTGAATGCTGTGTGGTACTAGGAGTTGATTTTTTAATATTCCTATGAGTTTTCCTAATAAATGGGAAAAAACATTAAAAACTGGATAATAGGTATAATATTACCAAAAATATACAATGCATCTTACCGATATATTTTACCATAATATGGTATATATATATTGTTAACAAAGTCAAAGACAAAGTTAAAAAACAATATTAAGCGAATCCACTCAGAATCGCTTTTCGTTAGCATTAGTTAATCGTTACGTACGTTACAGGTACATTCAATTTCCCCTCTACCTTTCCAACTTTTCACCTAAACAATGACCCACCCACGTGCGAATAGTATGTCCGTTTTTTTTAAATACATATTAGTTATTGTAGAATGGATAAACGCTTTTCTTTTTTGCGTGCATATGTTTATTGTTTGTTTATACAGGTGTAACAATATTAGTTGTATAATCCTATTTCAAGGGGGAAAATATCCAATTGTGAGCAGCGAATTTGTATAAATAAAACAATTGTTATGTATTAAATTTTTTTTGACTGCTTAAATCGTCACTGAATATAAAATGACACGAGATAGTGTATTAAGAAATTTTAGTTGATATGAATAAAATCAATATCGACAAAGTTAATAGCTACAAAATACAAAATATTGCTCAATCTTGATTCTTGATAAATCATCACGTGAAACTATCCTTTAAAATATTTTTATTGGTTGAAAAAATTGCATCATTAATTTTGTAAAAAAAATAACATGTACAATGGCTAAAAAAATGTAAATCTATAAGAGCAATTGAATAAATGAATATAGTATTTTTTGAAATTTTAACTAAATTAATGTTCGATAGAGTCCTTGTATTATTTATTATTTGATCACACTTTTTCTTTGTGGTGTATTTCTATGACCCAGGATAAATATTTTTTTTTTGTTATTTTTGTTTGGTCAAATCAGGATTGAAATCTTGTATCAACGCCTCGACCACTGAAATCATTCTTAATACATAATAAAAACTGCGTAATTTTAATTAAAAAAAATGGACCGTTATTCCTCGAATTAGCCTATAAGATATACTCTTTCCCTCCCATAAAAATGAAGCTAGTGAATGTAAAATATAAGTAATGACCGAGTTATATTTGATTTGTGTACATATTATATACATTTATATATATATATATACACATATACATTTTAGTGTTTATTATTATTTATCAGTAACGTTTTTAGTAGCTAAAAAATTGAATTATGATAAAAACTTAATACCCATTTGTGGACTACAGATAACGATTTACTTTTTTTGTATAAAAACTACACTTGCAGTTTAAATGCATTAAGTAGGTAGCTGTTAAAACTATTTCGGTTTAATCATGAAAAAAAGCGTTTGTCTCGAGACAAAAAATAAATATAAATTAAATTATAAAAATTGGTCAAGGCGTACAGAAGTTTTCAACAACAAAGATAAACAAAAGATGACAAGATAACAAAGATAAAAAAAATGTGATCGCAAAGGCTACACACAAAAATTATTTTTAATAACTAATGTGTTATTTGTGTAATTTGTGACAGTAAATTTACAATTAACCAAGGTAATAAAGTGTATTATATATACAATAATATTACTTACCACACCGTAAACTAAAAACTGTAAACCTGTAAATGAAAAAAAACCCTTGACTCCCTAAGTAAGGGATACCAAAGGAATATTAATTTTAAGGGATGTTAAAAAAGTATAGCTAATTTGTGTTCTAGGTATCTTTAAAACATAGTTGTTACCGAACGGTTTGTGTAAAATAATGTTTATTATATAATAAATAAATAACATTTGAAAATGATGCCAATTATCATTTTAATATTACTGCAGCGGCACAATTTTGTGCAGCGGTGGTACCAGGGGCTCATGTAGTGCGCGTCTTCAACCCGAGCCTCATGACGGCCGCGCGAGTCTTTATTCCGTATCGGTCGTCCAGCACATGAATTCCTGATACGGATTTCTGAACGTTTACGCCAACGAACCGTTTCCACAAACATTTTTTAATTCTTTTCAATTCGTCACAGACGTGGTTACGAGTGGCCATTATATCGAACGCTACATTGTGCATCAAACACTGGTATAGATTTCCGCAGCGAACACCGCCAATTTTTTCGACTTTTCGACTTTTATACTCGGGAACAAATTTCAGGGGAAATTTGTACGCAAAAATAAATTGAGTTTTTTGGTAATTTTAGAAGGAGCACGCGTCTACTCTGAATAGAGTGGACTTTCCGCCCGGCGGTATTTCATTTGAAATAATTCGTCAGAATTGTTGACAGTTTTTCTTAAAAAAAAAACCGACAATAAAAAATGTCGATTTCTGTAGGGTAGGTTACCTCAGTGTTGGGAGAAATCGATTAAATTTACGATGAAATTACGTAGATGATTACGATTAATTTATTAGATTAAATTAAATTAAATTACGTTAGTTATTAATCGTTTAATCGTTTTTCAAAGTAATTACAAATGATGATTAAAATATTAATTGTAATCGTTAATCATTATCGACAAATCTATCGTAAACTACAACTATATAGCATATACCAGGGGTGGCCACAACGAGACTCGTGAGCCGCACGCGGCTCTTGAACCAAGCTTAAACTAAAATTAATAAATATATAATTCCGTCAGAATCGTTAGATAGTATTTTTATTGCCGTTGGTTTCGTTATCATTACATTCGTTATTATAGATTGGCACGGCGGCCAATTAAATTCATTAAATCTAAATATCTATCTGTACTAACTGATGGACATTTAAGCGAACTTGTGCGAACAGCGCTTACAAATTATCAACCAGATTTTAAAAAACTTACAGAAAAAATGAACACTCGAAAAAACACTTCTCATAATTAAAATAACAATAATATTAATAATAATTATGTTTTATGCAGCGTAAAAAATAAATTTTCCTTCATTTGATTTAAAATGAAAAATGTGTCTTCGTTTTATAAACATTGCTTTACAATGTGGCTCACCTCGAATTAGCTTTATAAATATGCGGCTCCCAAAATAAAGGTTAGTGGTCACCCTTGGTATATACATATAGTACTGTGTTAACTGTCATTGGCGCTCTAAGACAATCGTCAAATGTTTAGGCTTTAGTGTCTAAACTAGATATCCATCTAAAATTTCGTGCCCCCCCCCC